GTGCGGCTTGTACAAGTACAAAAATCAATTTCTTTCTAAAAATTGGAACCTGTGGCTTACTGTATAATCAGATGCGGTTTGTAGTCCGGATAATACTGTAGCTAAATACATTAAAGGTGCACTATCAAACTTTTCTGATAAGGTGTATTACCTCATTATTATTATCTTACATTATTTAAATACAGATGTTTTTTCTGCAAAAAAAAAAAATAAACAATGCATTGTGGGTCTGCTTTCCTCTCCTGAGATATGATTGCGTTTTGAGAATTCCCCGGAAAAAAAAGGAGCTATCCAGTGGAACCTTCCAGGCAAATGCAAACGTGTGGAGATCCACAATTACTTTAGGGGAACTACCATAACATTTAGACCCAGCTTCATCTTTAACAACACAAATAAAAAGGTTCACAAAACACTCACACACGTTGTATAGGAGCTTCATTGCAATATGCAGCAAATTTTATTCAGTGCAGAAAACACAGTACAGTGTTCTTGTGCATTCTCGCCTTTTAGCCACCATTTTGAAAACAACACATTTTAAGATCGAAATGTCAAAATACACAAAGAGAGAGAGGGCGAAAGAGGAGGGAGAAGTCAAGTCTAAAACATACAAATGAACCCACATGCGTCGACAACAGAACATGTTTGGGAAAAAGTTCACAATATACGACAAAATGATATAAATTTGTCAAAGAACAGTGATAAACAAAGCATGAGGCATTAGTTTTTGATTGGTCGTTTTCCTTTGGGGGCCATTGGAGCTTGGTGATTGGCTGATACCTCCCTGAATGGTGGTCTCTGATCGGCCCACACACTTCGATATCACACTTTCTAATACAATCACACATAATAACCATCGTAAACATTATTTGATATATATTTTTCACATTTTGACCCCATGCGAAAAAGGTTGTGAATGATTAGAAACGGGCACAGTGTAAATATTAGAGGTGTGAACAAGAATGAACATAGTTTAAAGCTGCAGTGTGTAACTTTTCTAGGTTTGGTTGGTAAAAGATAGACTGCTTTGTCATGAAAGTTCAAAAGTAGGGCATTACAATTCTCTAGACTTAACATTGTGTCTTGATTTAAAATGATTTCAACCCATGTTAAATACTTTGTTGAGCCTAAAAAGCAAAGATTGAATTAATACATTGAATTCACTTAACGATGTTTTTTTCTATTAAACTCAACTCAAAATAACCATGTTCTTATATTTAGTTATTGTTCATGTTAATGCCATACTGTGGAATATTTCAGGCAAAGCAGTGATATCATGTAGAAGTTACATAACACATCTTCACATATATTTTTTAAAGTTTTTTTCCACCCCCCTAATCTCCAAGTATGGCTTTAAATGTTGCTTCTCGGCTGTACAACCATCGGATATCCTTTTTGTTATTTCTCTATAAAGCAATTCACATGGACACGTAGGTAACAGTAAGATGCACAGATAGGAGAGACACAGTTTATGCCATGATCTGATAACGGACAGCAAAAATAGTTTCATTTGCTTGGATTTTGGTGTTGACAGTTTCATACTCAGTCAGATGGTCTGTGTGTGAGCAGGCTTGACAAAATCAATTATTTCCAATTATTATCAATATACATTGTTGTTTAAAACCAACTCAAGTCATTTTAATTATATTATGTCGGCTTATTTAATTGAGACAAATGGGTTTGTTTGAGTCATTCATAAAGGCTTGAAAAATGTTTGAAAAAATTGTATTTCGTCTAAATTACCAAAGTGATTGAGCGTTTCAACTCTAATCCAAATGTCAAAATGAATTAAATCAAAGTTGTTATTTTTTAATTCCCTTTTGCGCCTGCAGAGTTTTTTTTTTTTGCAGCGCAAGAGGCGTCCATCTTGGTATGGTAATAAGACTGTTGTCCCGCATCTCTAACAGTGTGCCTTTGGGGTCCGAGTGCGAAATGAGGTCAAGATCTTGCAACAAAACAAACAAAAAACACATCGAAAGGGAAAAGGAACAGTGTCTTCACATGCAACCATTGATATGTCACTATAGGGGGCGCTAGACTCAACAATCAGCCATGTTTTCTAACCTGATAGACTTTTTATATATATATATGTATATATATTTATATACTCACACGCGCTGCACATGCTAACCGTTAGCATCTAGTACGTGAGACCTAACTACGTAAGCAAAGTGCATCCACAGAAATGGCTTAGGTTTGTTGTAGCTATAGAGAAATAATTGGTAAAGGTACTTGCAAAATAAATAAATAAAAACCAAGAATCCCTGCTTGGTTTGAGTACAAAGTAATAATAATACAGCAGTTTTTAAAGATACAAGATGGCTTCACTTTGTCAACCATTAGCTTCAATGGAGTTGGTGAAATGCTTTTCCTCAGAGAATAAATAAGAAATATGAAATAAAACATAAATTAATTTTATTATAATATTTATAATTAATAATAAAATGACAGTTAATATCATGATTTGTACCAACACGGCCAGACAGACTGAGTCAAGTTGTCAATCAGATTTCACACTTCGAGATACGCCTCTCATTATAATTTCATTAATTTGAAAAGCTATGATAATATTTCAAACATCTCAAGATTGATTCAACTATCAGAAGAAAAGCAGTAAGCAACATAATACACATTTAAAAAGCAGATACAATGTGCAGAAATGGCTCTAAATCTGCATCGCTCTTTCAGCAAAATGTTTTTTCCCCTTGGCTTTTACAATTGTGTCTGTTGCCAAGCGACGTTTAGCCTCAGACAGGTCGCTATTTAGAGCCTGCGGCAACTATCCATGCTTTCACTGCTTCGGGCGATCTTCTTGAGGTTCTTTAGAAATCTCAAAATCTTTTTATCAACATATGTTTGCCTATTGTGAGCTGCAAGCATCAGCTTTCCAGTCAATCAAGTAAATGTTGTGTACTGACCACTTAAATAATGGATTAATGATAAAAATCCATCTTTAATCTATGGTTCTGATACAAATGCATATTCTGCCAGTTCAGGAACAGGAAAACAACATTTCAAAAAGGGAAAAGCATTTGATAACTCGTGAAACACCTGTGCCCTCGTTGTGAACGGAAAAAGAGAAATAATGTCGGGTTTGTGGGTGGGTGACACGTTTGTGCTAATTGTCAGCGCTAGTTTTCCACCTCAAAATAGAAAAGAGGTTACATTCCAATAATACTTCGAGTAATTAGCGGCGTTATGATTACAGAAATGGTCTAGTTTTTCATTTTTCCAAACTGTGCTACATACATACACGGTATCGGGGGAGGAGGGGGCTGTAGAGGGGAATAGTTCAGGGAATAGAAATGCCATTTTTTTTGTGCATTGGTATTAATGCTAGCACTATGTCTTCTCCATCCCTGTGTGTTCCAATGGCCATTTCATTGGGTGACAATAGGCCAATAATATCAAGTGGGGATTGGTCAATATCTAGATTTGAATTTAATGCAGCAATAGTATATACTTTATTGTTTTGGTTGATGAATCACACAAAATGGCCAGTCAATGTATAGGTAACTTATGCGTTCGTGGCAGGCATGGACTTTACATGACCGAGTGCTTATCTGAAGAGGTTTACATTACCTTGGCTTTAACTGGATGATCTGACTCCTGGCTTGTCTCTATAGAATCTTGCACGAAGGTAAACTGGTCATTTGTGACTCCTTAGGGGCGACTGCAACGCGATACAGCTTATATCCAAAGCTTTTTCCTGAGCCAGTGAACCGTGAGGCCAATTTAGAAGCAAGTGCTGCACCCAATTATGTCAGAAAAGGAGTTTAGGGTTGGATTTTAAAACATTAAAACAAATTACAGAAAATGAGAAGTTTGAGATCTAAAAAATGGTGTTAAATGTTCGTTTGCATTTTCTTTTGGCTACTAGATCGTTGCAATCTCTTGTTTAACAGTTTGACAAACCAAATCTGTTTATAATGCATCTGTTTAAACTCCTGTATTGAATAAAGGGGCTTGAATTTCAACACATTCAGAGCCAATTTGCCACTTGAGCTACTTTGTAAAGAGAAAGGCCATGCGGAGGTCGTAGAGTCCGGAGTCAGGTATCCCCATTCAGTCCTTAAATATTCATTGACTGTCCATAATGCCCTCGAGGTGTTAGCCACCCTTTGTGCCTTTTCTCCCTCTCTTTATTGATCAAAAGTGGAAAAAACCGACTGGAGTTGGAGCCAGTTTCCATGACCACTGCAATGCAAACTTTACCAGCCATTGAATTCTGTTGAAACACAGCAGGGGAAGAGATAGACTTTGGAAATAGAAGTGTTCAATGTGCTAGCTTCAAGTTATCATCTCAGGCTGCGTATGAAAGTCCACACTATTCCCAACAATATTCGCTGTTCAGGGCGCATTTTTAGAAGGTGTTTCTGAGACTAGTGCTTTACAATTTCTAACAATGCAGCTTGAAAAGTATTGGAAAGACAAGAGCAAATCAACAGTGGGCAGTGACAGATCTTCAAACCGACACAACGGAAGGAAAACGCACAGATTTTAGCAATTATAGCATAGAAATCCATTTAAAGTTTTGCCTGTGATGAGAAAAAGTACCTTCAATAAACAGTCCTTTGAGATTGGATGACAATGTACTGAAAAGAGGTTTTAGGGATTAAGGGTGGACCTTCACACACAGCCCATGTCTTAAATTCCAATTGTGCGTTTCATTCGCCTTCAAAGATGTGCTTGATTGTTCTGGATGCTTGTGCGTACAACAAGACAAAAATACGATGATCGATATGTTAAAAGTGTATGAAATGGCCAGAGGTTAGAGTATTTGAACATGCTAGATTATAAATAGCCTTCTTTTGATTTCTCGTTCTTTTCCCAGTCATGCAAAAACAGGCCTTCTTGTCACACTTTCCCAACCTCAGACCTTAAACTACTGAAATGACCCGAAATTGCCCCGGAACGATCAACTACTAGTTTTCTGTACAGCTGGGTAAATTTTTTGTTGGTTTTGTTGGTATTTTGATGAGGTGTTGAGACAGTCCGTGGCTCTACTTCTTTTTCTTCTGGAAGCGTCTGAACTGGTTCTGAATGGCCAGCGCTGCCTTCTCCGTCTCGGGTGCCTCCAGGTCAATGTCCACCTCCTCTTCCTGCTCCTGGGGCTTCACTTCGGAGGCCTTCTCTGTGGGGAGAGAAAAACAAAGCAAAGAATTAAAGAAGTGGAAAAAAATCAGTATTTGTGGTCAGATGACAAGATCAAGATGCGCAACCTCAATCTTTGTGCCAAGGAAGCATGCCCAAAACCTCCATTCACTGATTACAGCTTGCACAATGACAGTTTTATTTCATGTGTAAAGAATTTGATAAGTTTAGAGAGGAGGACTTGTTTGTACTGGTTTGTGACAGAAGGTCCTAGTCCTGTTTTTGATGAACGAACAATGGTCGAACATGGTGGAAAACAATTGTAATCATGCTGAGAAAAGATGCTTCTAAACACCACGATGATGAAGAAATAGAATGTGAAAAATAATGAAGAAAAGGCTGCTGAAAATAGTTTAAAAAGAACAAGGATAGGGCTGTCGGACTTTGGCCGTTTAATCAATTAATGGGACGATGGTGTCTTAGTAAGTAAGTAATCTTTATTTATATACCGCCTTTCACAGACCAGAGTCTCAAAGCGGTTTACAATGGTTATTTTCTGGGCATTTGTCTCTCACTCCACACAGAGATGGGAGCGGGGTCGCCAGTATAGGAGGCGCATGCCAGACCTATTGTACATGTTTTTAGTGGTAGGGGAAACCGGAGTACCCGGAGGAAACCTACGCAGACACGGGGTGAACATGCAAACTCCACTCAGAAAGGCCCTGTTCCGACCGGGATTCAAACCCAGGACCTTCTTGCTGAGAAGCGAGAGTGCCGCCCAAAACGCTTAGTATTTGACCAAAGGCTTGATGGGGTGTAGACACGGATAGCTGATGCTTTAGGATGTGTTTTGATATGTAAGGCAGATGCAATGCTTGAGTCACTGCTGTAGATACAACATTGGCCTGGCATTGGCTGTGTTTGGGTTCGATACATTTTTGACTAGTTGAGAGCTTTTGCTGACCTCAATAATCAACAAATCGACAGGAAATGTTGTAGTCAATCAAGAAACTAGATGTGCGTTTCAAGGTTTCTCCTGTCTCCATCTAATTGCAGCAAGAAAGAGGTAGAACTTGGTGGAAAACTAACTAAGACCTCTTTATCATTAATCCTCACTAAGTCCGGTGCAAGTAAAGCCAATTGTCACACATTGATTGCGTTGAGCTCACGGCTGCTCGCTCGTCTGGGTTTAGGCTGTAGCTGTGATTGCTGGAATTAACTTCATGTTTGCAATTAGTGAAACAGTATAGAAATGCAGCCCCATGGCACGTCTTTGCCATTGTTCCCCACTCACTGGATCATAATGGATATTACGTAAAATTAAGCTGCAATTATACCGCAGTGACTTAATTCATAATCATACCCTGGACAGCCCGCTATAAAGCCAAGTGTAAATAATGACTCATGCAATTCTCAAGGTGCTAAATGTATATAGGGGTATAATTGTACAGCCGACCCCAGGGTTTTTTAGATGGGCAGTTAATGAAATGGGTAAATAAACAGTTAATTTTGCTTTAAAACAAACACATTATTCAATTTTAACCAGGTTACAACATCGTTCTCCCAATAAAACAAACCAGATGTTTTTTCTTTTCCTCTATCCACGTCAATCGCACAAATCCGCCCACCCACCTCACAAAACACTCGGTACCGTCTTTTAGACAAATGCTTACATGCTTACATTAACAGGTAAAACAGTTATATTGCTGTTTTTGCTGCACAAACTCAACCCCTATCAAAAAGTTCTGGCCAGTCCATTCTAGACAGACATGAACAGGATCCAAAATGTTTTAAAAGGCTTGCATTGGGGTTATGACTTTCCACGTATCCTTCCTATATAGACATTCAAGTTCTAAAACGTGAGATAATAAGGTTGAGTTTCAATGTCACGGCCAAGGACCACACTGAATACAAACTCATATTTGTTCTTTAACTTGTTGCTTTGGCTCAGCTCTTAAATGATCATCACTCCTGAAACCCATGAATACTAATGCATTCGCAACACTATTTTTGTATGCAAGTCTGAAAGTCTGAGATCAGCTGTCGAGCCAAAAAGCTGAAATCCATACAGACTTCCCGATGCATCCGTCTCCTGCCCCTCACCCTCCCGCTGAGCTCTGATAGATTTCCCTTTCCGCACAGCAGTGATGGGATATTGATGAGACAAACTGTGCAAAACTTAAGCCCTCACAAACTTTCATCCGGCTGACGGGAGGCGCCGCGCTGCCAGATGCACAGCTCACGGAAAACCTCCAGTGACCTCAGCAAAGTCAGGACTCTCAAATTGTGTCCATCGAATAGAAAGCAAAAAGCTCATTGCACCACACTCTACCGCTGAATAATTAATGGTATCAAAACAATAAGTCTAAACGGAAAATACCTAATGCAGTTTTGGGATGAATATTTTATAATTGAGACTTGATAAGCAACATATTGGCGTTTAAAATCTTTTAAAGGACACATTGTATACAAAATGACAACTTTTAATCATTTAACTACATATTTACGTTTTTGATCCCCTCTAGGCGATAAAAGAAAGACAAATAACAATGTAAAGCACAAAACAACAATTGTTTAAGAGCTACTTAGGACTTGCTGCCTAGCTCTAAAATATAAAATATATTACAATAGGGTTTCTTTGCAGGTTGTTTTGAGGGTTACACCCAATTTCAAGTTCGAAAACATGAAATGGCAAAATTAAGGTGCTAGATATGTCTAAGCCTCAATAATGAAGAGACATAATAATATGTGGGCCTAAAAACTGAGAGGTAGACTTGGCTGAGATCCGAGACATGAGGCTGCTGTCTGTAACCTCTGCAGACTCACTCTGTAATTACATCAGGACTGCTCTGTGCAGCTGCTGTTATTTTAGTCCTCACACCTCAGCTCACACTGCACTGTTCACACGGGTGACTGGGGCCAGGAAACCATCCTCAGCATCCTTCATAAACATAGTAACATTTACTACTAAATATCACGTCCATATTGTAATTAAATTATGTTTTATTGTATAGAATTCAAATCCAAGTCTGCACAGGATTTCCATGTCACTGCTCTGTCCTCTCTGTACCCAACCCCCATGCCACCCTCTGCAGGTGGTGAACCCACAGGGGGAAGGCACGTGTGGTCCCTTTTGGTCTGGCCAAGCCCTGTGGGGCCTTGACCTCCAGGTGATGGATTTTCTTCCTCAAGTGGAGGAGTTCAACTATATCTGGATGTTTTTCACAGGGAAGGATGGAGCATGAGATTGACAGAGGGATCAGTACAGTCTGCAGTGATACGGCCACTGGGATTGATGAGCGGAAGAGGGAGCTGAAGCGAAAGCCAAAGCACTTGATTTACCGGTCAATCTATGTCAATTGGTGAGGGTCAATCCACCCTCACCACATGAGCTTTAGGTAATGACCAAAATGATAAGATTACAGATACAAGCAGTTGAAATTAGTTTCTTCTGCAGAGCGGCTGGGCGCTACCTCAAAGATAGGGTGAGGAGCTCAGTCACACTTGGATTATCGCAGCTACGCACAGATGGGAAACGTTGATCTAAAACAAGTGCCATCAGAGCTCAAACTCCCACTGAAGATTCATCAAACCCCTCTGACTTCACAAAACATCCAGGAACAAAGAAAGTGACAGAAGTAGCCTTACCTTTGTTGTCAGCCGCACTCGTCTGGCTGCTGTTAGCAGAGTTAGTGGATGCCACCTGTGAAAACACAAATAAAAAGTAAATTTTATTGAAATGTATTTATAATTTTAGTTCATACGAGAGCTGGTATTCATGTTAACATGTGCAAGATGTATATTTCATTAAAAAAAAAATAGTTTTCAGAAGAGATCCACATAATGCATGTGCTTCAGAAAGGGTGCTGTCATCCCAGATGAAAAGTGCCGTAAATTCAGAGTATCCCCTCTGTGATGTCATCAGATTCAGAACTTGGGTCTCCTTAATGCAATAATGCGTTCTATTTAAATAGCGCTTTTTATGACACCCAAACACACTTGGGATTATTCATAGCCTTAACTGCCCTGAGACAGACTGGCATAAACAAGGCAATCAGTCTGTAGCCAAACTGTAGCTTGATTTGGGTAGAGCAGTACTTCATATTTAAGTGTTAGTCCACTATTAGAAAACCACAAAACCCAGTCTTCCGCACTCTAACAACCTTTTGTCATATTTGCTCACTGCATTCGTTGGAAAAGCCTGCTCCGATCACAATCTTGCATCGCAGCATGTTCGCCATCACCTCCTCCTCACGCCTCACTGACAGCAGATGTTGTGTCAGATTTCCGTCGGCCATGTTGGATTGATAAGCTCGATCCTTGCGTCTGTTCTCTAATGTTTCCCGTCATGCCTGGAGTGTTAACAAGTCCGCTCCATCTAAAATAATTCAGTTAGCGATTTGCCACACTGTCAATGTGTGCCGTTTGGCAGACGAACAGCGGGGTATTCTGTTGTGTGGGCTGCAGACGAGGCCAGATCTAATATCAGTGATGGAGATGAAGGGAAGTGCCACGATGTGGTGCGACGACTCCGCACAGCAGAAGGAATTTGCCTGACAAGGACGTAATGCTGGATTCACACTAGACATTGGTGTAATTTTAGATTGATACAAATAGATGAAGTGGATGTAGGAAGTCTGCATGGACAGGAAAGTCTGAGCATCTCTGCTCAGACTGCTGCCTCTGCGACCTGGCAGGAAATAGATCAAAACAAATAGTGTAAATAAATTTTTGTGTGTTAATTTTGGCCCTTGAGAAGTTGGAAGCCCTAATCTTAAATGCCCTGGGAGTCACTCTTATGGCTCTTATGTTTAACACTTATTGTGCACGATATTAGTAAATGTTTTTATTTTTTCTCCAGAGTATACTGTGTAAGTGAGTACATTATAAACTGTGTGCTTCTTGGTTGTAGCTTTGACACATTATAACTGCAGGACGTTTTCCACACACGCACACTTAAACACACACACGCGCAAAGAAGAAAGTGGATGAGCTAAAAGCTTTTTCGCCTGCTCTGTCTGTGAGTCGAAAAACTCGTCACCGCGCTCTTCCACTAGTGTGCCAAAGATTCACACACACACACACACACACACACACACACACACACACACACACACACACACACACACTCTCATACACACACACACACACGAGAAAGTGACAGGGCAAGGGCAATTTTTTATTTCTCAACAAATGTAACTTAAATGTAACAATGCATTTCATATGGACAATCTGCATCCTTTAAAGCTCAGTACCGCAATGTTCATGTAACTCATCTCTTGTACCGGAGCGTTGTTTAAGCTGCTTTCACACCGCCAACGCTGGAACGGGGAAGCCTCGCGCACCAGACGCACTTTCTTTAGTTTTCAGACGCAGGGGACTTCACACCAGAAGTCCTGGCCAGCGGTGGCGCGCCGGAAGTGGCGGAAGTAGCCGGCGGGCTTTGATGCTAACGGAGTTAAGCTAGCGGCTTCTTGTGTAAAGTTCTTCTCCAAAAATGCAGCTCTGCAGCGTGTCTGTGTCCAGAGACCTTTCACGGACTTTATATAACAGCAGGATGTGTTCACGGAGGTGCGCAATAAGTTTATCTTATTATTAAACGGTACTTCTGCATCGGCGAACACACTCAAAGCAGTTGCATAAAGTCATGGGAGCATGAAAACTCACATGTTCCCAAGCACTATGTCCCCCATTGTCAACCCTGGTTTAGTTTTGGTTTAGCTCCTGTTTTGGCTGTTTACGAGTATGTTCAGTCTGCTCGCTCAGACCACTAATGTCCCCGTGACCACTTTGCGGCTCTCTGATTGGTCGTGCAGGAGCATCCGAGGAAACGCTCAGCAAAATGTATCTCCTGCGTGCGTCGATTTTCCGCTCCTGCTCCTCCCCTGCGACTTTCCCGCGCAGTTCGACGCTCGAACGCCCGTCACCATTGACTTTGCATTGAAAGCAGACGCAACGCATGATCCGGTCTGAACGCAGCTTTAGGGAACGTATTGTTTAGTTTATTTCTATTTTTTAAAGAACAAATATTACGCATTTCTCATTTGATGTCTTTGACATCTCATGATTTAGAATGTGAAATCATGTATACAGAATAAACAGATTGTCAGGATTAGTAAAATAGCTCCATCTAGTGGTGGAAATGTGGAAACAATAGAAATACTATGCCAGTAGAATACAGCGAAACAGGCCGTCTAATTGATGTATTTGACTGGAGAAATTTCTTTAGTTGTTGTTTGAAAAAGCAATATTTGAGTCGGAACTGAAATTTGCATAGCTGTAAGCTTAAAATATATTATAATAATAATTAACGCTAAATTAATTATTTTAATTCAGTGTGTTCAGAGGTTTTCGAATTGTACAAATGCATTTTCATCAATCAATACAAAAAGCACGTGCCATCTTCTGTCATCGTCTATATTAAACATAGATTATTAGCAGGCGATGGCGTTTGCATCAGGACGTAAGTCAACGTTGATAGTTATAACTGAATAGAATCAATGTTAACGAAAACAGACTGGATGCAGGGTTAAATGTAACATGTCATGGCCCTCAATAAAACATAAAAGGAGTCCACAGCCCCTTCACTCTGACCTCCTGCTCTTTATGATCTGCACAGGAAATGGACCGGACACAACTCGCTCTGCACTGGAGCGTGTGTGGTTTTCAGAGCCGACGAACCACGGCGCGCACACACGCACACACACTGTCCAGGGCTACCAGCGTCGCACTTGTCTTTAGTCCTGCTTTTAGCTCATGGTGAAGTACACACATTTCCTTTAGACAAAGAAAACATCCTTCTGTCTGTCTATAGGTGATAATTTGTGACACCATAGACATGAAAAATGCCTTCACATGACATTCATTCACTCTGGACAAAGTGGTGGTAATCTACCAACATAACCACAGCTGCCCTGGGGCACACTGGCAGAAGAAAAGCTGCCACGGTGGCCACAGAGCAGTTGACTCTGAGCAAGAAGGTCCTGGGTATGATGGAGGATTGTCTCTGGGTGCTCCAGTTTCCTATCAAATAGTGTTGAACAGCGGTTGTAGAACGGGACTAAAAAGGTACCTAAGTATGTATTTCTTTCAAACTTAAGTCAAATTTGAAAAGCGGATGGATGAAGCTCATTATGCTCCAATCCCTTTCGCTAACACAACACAAACTCACACACATACATACACGCAAATGCACACGTCAGTATTCATTAATACACACTCTCTCATTCAAGTGAATAAGTGCATGTGACCATCCGGCCCCCCGACCACCACCAGCCACTCGCACAGACTCACACTTAAGCAATGTGGGGGATGTGTCTTGCCTGGGGACACAACGGCACTTCACAGCCTCAGCCGCCTCACTCAATCTGAATTGTTTTTGAATAGAATTGTGACTCCAAAAATAGCCCCAGTTTACTGCAACTCCTTCATCTGATTGGAGTAAGCTAGTCCACTGAAACAAAGCTAGAAAATGCTTCATTTTGTCTGAGGATTTGTTGCCAGAAAATCAACCTCCACCAAAACTATTCACAAACTTAGACCTCGTCACTCATACTTTTCCCCTAAATTTCCAGATGCAAAAGATGGAAAAACCCTGACAAGCACAAAGAGTGGCGATAAAGGATTCCGCAGCCATGTGCTTTTGTTAATCCTGCAGATTTGGCTGAGCAGTCGTTTTGGCCCAAAGTGCCTCTTTAACAGCTTTGAGATGATTAAAAGAAGTATTTATTTGGATTTGTCAGCAGCAGGAGACATTCACAGAGTGAAATGTGTGAGAGAAATCTGCTGCAGTCATTTACTAAAATAAAAAAATAAAAGAAGCAGTTGTGATCTTGCACTAAATTACTTAATCTTAATCATTTGAGGGGGCAGCTGCAGCTACAGTTGTGTATGTGACTGAATGAATAATGCAAAGAAAAGTGCTTTGGGTGTCATGAAAGGCGCTAGAATGTTATTTTTGGTTTTTATATAATGCTCTTTTATGATAGAGCTGCTGTTTCATTGCATCTGCAGTCTGACATTTAAGTATGATAGTCTCTTAACTAATTCAGTTATCACGTCCCATTTAATCACATTTCATTGAGAGAACAGGCCTCGCCCCTGTCTCACCCTAAAAGCGTCAGTAGTGCAGTGACCGCAGTCTCTTGGTGGCTGAGTGGGTAGAGCGCTCTGGGTTGGATCCTCGGGCCGGACAGAGCCTCTTTTGCGAGGAGTTTGCAGACTGTACAACGAACAATGAGGACTAACACTGAGGTACACTGACCTCACATGTCGTGCGTCTGTGCAATATTATCTTTAATAATGTCAGAATGTGTCACCTTACTTAGTCCCTTTGTCCCATACCCTCGTGCTTCTAACATTTTCAGATGTCTACTATAAATTACTTGCACTAGAATATACAGTATACATAATATAAATAGTTGCTTTTTTATTATTTCCCCCCAGACGAGCTGGAGGAAGTGTGTGTGGATAGGGAAGTCTGGGCAACGACCCGGCAACGGATGAAGCGGAAGAAAATGGATGGATGGATGGATGGCTTTTTTATTATGCTAAACTTAGAGATTTCATACATGATTCTTTGTTGTACTAAAGTTGCAGATGGTTTTTATTTGAGAATACAGTTAATATTCATTTATCTTGTGCTGTGTGCTCCTCATTCCTATTGTACTGTAACTGGTGATGCAACACTGACATTTCCTCACT